AATCAATAAAAAAATAAAAAAATCAACCACACAAAAAGTTAGTTCTTTGAAAAAATAAATAAAATTGATAAACCTTTGGCCACATTAACTTAGAGAGAGGGAAAAAACCCTCAAGTTACTAAGCTTCATGATAAAAATGGAAATATCATCACAGATACTATTGAAATTCAGATGATAATAAAAATCTAATTGGAAAACTTATACTCCAGTAAAGTAGAAAATCTTGAAGATACAAACTAGTTTCTAGAGACATATGACTTACCCAAATTTAATCAGAAAAACATAGAATATTTTAAAAGGTCAATTTCAAGCAATGAAGTTAAAGACAGCATCAAAAGCCTACAAACTATAGCCTGAAACCAGAAGGATTGTCAGCTGAGTTCTACCAGACCTTCAAAGAAGAACTAACACCAATCCTCCTCAAATTATTCCATGAAGTAGAAAAGGAGGAAACACTTTCAAACCCATCTATGAAGCTAGCATTATCTCATACCAAAACTAGAAAAAGACACATCAAGAAAAGAAAACATCAGACCAATATTGTTCATGAACTTAAATGTAAAAATTCTTAATAAAATACTAGCAAATCACATAAAAAATGTTTAAAAAGATAGTGCATCATGATCAAGTGGAGATAATCCCAGGGATATAAGGTTGGTTCAACATACAGAAATAAATAAATGGAATTCCTACATCAATAAAATTAAAGACAAGAATCACATGATTATTGAAATATGCAGGAAAAGCATTTGACAAAATATAGCATTCATTCATATCCAAAACACTAGAAAAACTAGGGATAGTAGGAACATACCTCAAGATTGTAAAAAGCTATATATGTTAAATCCAAGGTCAACATCATTCTAAATGAAAAAAATATTGAAAGCATTTCCTCCAGGAACATGATAGGGATGCCCTCTTTTCCCACTTCTATTCAGCATAGTCCTGGAAACTCTAGCCAGAGCAATTAGGCAAAAGAAAGAAATTAAAGGGATGCTCACAGATAAAAAAGAGCTCAAACTATCCCTATTTCCGATGACACAATTCTATGTTTAGAAGACCCAAAACTCAACCAGAAAACTTCTAGAACTCATAAATTCAGAAAAGTAGCAGGATATGAAATTACCACCCATAAGTCAATATCATTCCTATACACCAATGATGAACCAGTTGAAAGAGAAATTAGGAAAACTCTCCCATTCACAATAGCCTTAAGGAAAAAAAAGTACTTAGGAGTCATTGTAGAAGACCTCTACAATGAAAACTACAGGACACTAAAGAAAGAAATTGAAGAAGATCTTAGAAGATAGAAAGATCTCCAATGTTCTTAGATAGGCAGAATTGATATTGTTTAAATGATCATATTACCAAAAGCCCTATACAGATTTGATGCGATTTCTATTAAGGTTCCAATGACATTCTTCATAGAAATAGAAAAAATTTGAACAACTAATAATAAAAAAAAAGAAATAGAAAAAGTAGTCATGAAATCATTTGGCAAACTAAGAGACTCAGAATAGCCAAGCAACGCTTAGTAAGAAAAGTGAAGCAAGAGGCATCACAATACCAGACCTTAAATTATACTATACTATGTGCCTCATGGGTACAACACCAAATCAGAACTATCCCAGGATGGTCCCTGCCTTAACAAGCCTTCAATCCTGTATTTGTGGTATCAGTCAGTACTTACTGATTCTTTAATTCTGTTCTCAAAAACAATCCACCAAAAAATTTTAAATACATTGTCGAATCACACTAGTTGTGTCTCCTCTATGTTGATGTGTACAGCTATCTTAACATATCAATCTTTAACCATGGTTTCTGTATTTGATGTCATGTTAAAAAAGATTACAAAATTATTCATTTATTTTCCTCCAGTTATATCTCTTTATTTTTATTTTTATTAACATGTTACTTATTCATTTGTATATTATATAAAAATTTACATTTTTCCTAACATTGAGTAATTATTGTTGTACCTCATTAAATGCTCAGCACTTTCTTCATCAATTAAAATCTTGTCTTTATTACACTTACTTTTATATGCTTTGACCTGTTAGGGATTTTCAAAGTAATTTAACTCTGCTAAGTTTCCATTTTATTAAAATAAAAGTATCACACCGTCTTAATTATAACTTGGTAGTATGTTTTAATACTTAGAAAACAGCAAGTTAACTTTATCACTGTTTTTTCAAAAATTTGCTTTTCCCAGGTTGTCTATTCTTCCATTTCACCAAATTCTTCCCAGAAATCTCTTAGGTGTTTTAAGCAAAATTGTATTAACTTCATAATTAGTTTGAGGACATTAACATCTATACAACATTTATTATTGTCATCCAGGAATATATAAATGGTCATTATTGCTACTCCTTCACTTTTTGTTTCCCAATATATCATCACTATTTTCGTATTCTACTTCATCCACATTTCCTGTAGTTTATTGGTAGCTATCCCATTATTTTTATAAATGGGATGTTTTTCTACATTCTTTCTATTTATTGCCATTATGGAAAAATAAACTAGTTTATACACACTTATCTTCAGTATGCCTCTTTAAAAGAAGTCATTACTCTAATGGCTTTTCAGTTTTCTCAGGATTTTTATTAAAGAAATATGTATTTTAAGGAAAAAATATCATTGTTTCCTAATAATTACAGTTTGGGGGAGTCAGCATAACAGTATTTAAGACTCATGTGTCAAACAACCTGAGTTCTGACTCAGCTCTGCTACTCTTTACCTGGCAACTTAGCTGCTTGCTTAGCTTCTCTAGGCCTCAGCTTTCTCTTGTGTAAAATGAGAATGACAGTAGTTTGTATCTCTAGGATTGTTTTGAGGATTATACTTGTAAGCATTTAGAGCAGTTCCTACTATATGTAATATAAACAAAAAAAAAGGGGTTTTAATTAAATGGTTAAAAATTAAAAAAACAAGGAAAACAAAAGGGAAGAAAATGGGTGGGCAAGAAAGCCCCAATGGTTCCCTCCTTCCCTGGAAACAAGTAATTTTCAATGGAAAGGCCCCCCCAAAAAATAACAAAAAAGAAGGAAAAGGGGTAAATTTTTTAAAAAATCATTGCATTTTATCAAATGTCAATTGGAATCAAATAAAAAGAATAGAGGTTTTATTCTCTAGCTGTATGAAATTATTTTAATAAATTTCTCACAACTGAGATACTTTCACCTTCCTAGAACAAACACCTTTGTTGTATTATTTTATTTTACTGATTTCTAATTTCTTTAATAATATTTCACTGATTTTTTTGTGATTTTTCCTTTTTGTGTGATACTTTTATTATTTATTTTTGGATCTTTGGAGGAGTTTTATAATATTATGCATTTTTAAAAATAAATCTGAAAAATATTATATCTCTGTCATAGAGGGCATTGAGTATAGGAACAATGTGTTCCTTACCAGTGCATCCTTTCACCAATCAATATAAATACCTGATGAAAGAAAAGATGCTTTATTCATTTAAACAGACAGCATTTTGGCTCCTGTCAAAGGTTCCTATCCAGGCTGGTCAAGGACATAGGTTTAAGCATCAGACAGAATTAGACTCAAATCCTAAATTCACCACCCACTAGCTAAATATGTGCATTTGGCAAGATACCCTTTAATCTCAGAGTAAATACATGCCTCCTTACCTTCCTCACAAACCTATCATAAAAATTAAGCAGGATTATGCTAGATGTCACCACACACTCAACCCACAATACTGACCCAGTTAATTATTTTATACATTAGTTTTCATTTTAATTAATGCAAAATTAATAGTTACATTTCTACTGGTTATTTTTATATGGAGATTATTTAGTATGGAGATTCTAGTGCTTTATGTGGTAATATGAACATGTTTGATAAAATATTTGTGAAAATGACTTCATTATAAAAAGAAAAACTCAGGTAAAGCATCTAATTCTTAAACTTAGATACACTGACATATTAAAAATTTGACATTAAAATAAAATGCTCTGATGAGACATGGAAATGGCCCCTTTGCCAAGGTCTAAGCAAAGTCACAGTGGGCTAACAGGAAAGGAGTATGCTAGTGTAAGAAAATCAGGCAAGAAGGCTGGGAATATAGGTCAGTTGGTAAAATGCTTGCCTCCATGCACAAGGCCTTGGGTTCAATCCCCAAAACCACAAAAAAAAAAAAAACAGACACTGAGACTGGACCACATGGAATGAAGCCACTCTGTCCTGTTCTCCTGGAACTCTGTCCTCATAGGAATCAGAATGGGAGGAGGATGCTGGAGCCTGCACCAGGCCTCTTGACCCGTTCTCAGGATCTGTCATCTAAACTGCAGTGGGGGAGCCAGCCTCCCATTCTGGGTGGAAGAACAAAGGCAGCACTAAGGGATTAGCCTGGCCTCAGAGCAAATTCTACCAATCTGATAGAACTTTGGTGAAACACTAATAACCTGAAAAACGAACTTGGTCTAATTGTTAAGACATACCAAATAGAGGGTGTGTGTGTTTGTGTGTGTGTGTGTGTGTGTGTGTTTCTCAAAAAGGTATTACTTTGAGGATTATATCTACCAGTGTTAGTATCATCAAGAAAATTTACTTGTACACACTGATTATAGATTTATTACTATGATCTCTGAGGAGACTAGTTATAAGCAACGAGTTTATAAGAACTGAAGGTAAATTGTGAATTTCTCTCCTGTGTAAAGACTGTAATTTTTTAAAACATTATTTTGATTAAACAGCTGCCTCTACTGAGAACAATTTAAATAGGCAAAACAAAGAATGGAAATATGAAACCAAGTTCAGTTTCTCTACTAATCGCTGGTTCATAGCTGAGACAGAAATGTGTGTCTTGGGTTCTGAGTATGTATTATCTGCTATGAATTTATTGATTAAACTATATTGATAGGTTTTCCAAAATGAAGACATATCACCCTACCTTTCCTATGCTGTCCTCAAGCTTTATAGCAAAAAGACTTTTTCAGGGACACCCTGAGTACTAGGACTGATGGAACAAAAGGTGTACCCACCTCTATCTTTTCTGACCAAAGTGGACTCAATAATTTTTGGTTTCCTGCTTTCCCCAGATTTATCTTGATTGAGTCCCTTTCTCAGTATATCATGATCCCTGAAGAAAACAAAGTGGGAAAAACAGGTTTATTAAGATAAACCTCTTTAGTTCCTTGTCTTACAGAAAAGAACAAGTGGTTCCCTTGGTCTAAAACAACTAATGTAATGATCAAATGCCACACAATTCTAAAAATATTCATTGTCATTTTTTCATTTCTCATCCCAATATTTTTTCTTTTCTACTTCTCTGGGAACAGAAGGTTCCTGAGTAAGAGCGCCATACTCCCTTATAAATGAGGAATATGTTTCTTTTTATTATTTTGTTTCATTGAAACCCACCAATCTGAGCAAATTTTCTTGTAAACAGATTCACTAGATGAATGAGAGATTTCCCCAATATGTGACTGAAAAAATGCCATAACTCTGCAGCAGTTCAGCTCTGAATTTCAGTACCAAAGAACAAGGACACTGTTTTTCCCAATCACATGACATAGTGATTTCGATTCTTGGAGAGAAAACAAACACAATAAAATCCAGTGCACATCAATTGCCTCTGTATCAAAATTTGGATATTTGTAGCTGACCCACTTATATGTTTTTGTTCTTCATATTCTTTTAGATATTTCTGTATTAAATGTCCTCATTTAAAAACTAATAATATGGAAAAAATCTAGTTATTTCTTTTCCATATATACTTTTTCAGTTTGTTTGTTTTGGTACCAGAGGCACTTCACCACTGAGACACATCCCCAGCCCATTTTTAATTTATTTTGAGACAGGGTCTCCTCGCTAAGTTGCTGAGGCTGGCTTTGAACTTGTGATCCTCCTGCCTCAACCTCTGGAGCTGCTAGGATTACAGGCATGTGCCACTGCACCTCGCCCATTTCTATAAAGACTTTTGATAGACGTAGCTACAACTAATCACCAAATAAATAAGAGCCCCTTTCACTCAGGCAGCCTACATATTTGAGAAGATGCATAGTAAATACTTAGCTGTCTAAGATGAGAAAGCTGTGATTTTTATTTTGTTGTTTGTTTCATTTTATGGAGATCATCTGTTCATTTTACCCCTAAATGCAGTGCTGGTAATGTCAATATTCCTCTGCTTATATGTGCTGTCTAACTTTACTTGGGTTCTTCAGAGCAGGCGAATCTAGTGTTATATTATGTATTTGGGGATTTGTGCTTTCGTCAGTTTTCTCACCCTTCTTTCTTTCTAATAAGCCATCAAATTCTGCTGTCCAGGCTAATTGTGTCCATTCCACAGCCCACTCTTTCAATTCCATTCACACAGATACCATCTAGACTGACCCTCCCTACCCATCCTTCCCCCATCCCATCAAGGCTCATAATTAGAGATTATGACATTCATCTCTATATTCCCTAGTCTGAGACAGTCACCTTCCAATCCAGCTTCTGCAGACCATTCAAATAAATACAGTAACTGAAATTTTAATTTGTTTGAAATCCAACAATTATATATAGTGATATATATAATTCACTCAGACTCTCAAATAAGTTATTCTTTTTTTTCCCAAAATGTCAAGAGCCTTATGTCAGATACTATTTTAAGTGTGCTTCTCATATTATTTATGGCTTTCAAGTGAGCCAATAATTAAAAAAAATCCTAAGGGCTTGTAACACAGGTGCTGGGACATGGAACAAGTGCAGGTTCCAGTTCATCCATTTATCAGCCTTTGATTTTGAGGCGTCATCTCCTTTCCTGTCAGTAAATGATAGAATCTTGCTCATCAAGTGGCCATGGCAATATTTATCCTACCTATCTCCAGGTTGCTCTGGGATTCAAACATCACATACAATAAGTAGTGAATATCCAGTTATTGCTTTTCCTGAAGAGCAACAAAATAAAAACTTGCTTCTCTTGTTTAATACTAAGTTAGTCTGGGAGCCTAGAAAGGCATCTGCTCATCATAAACCAAAATCTTATTATTCCTTCTAGGAAGGTGATGTTTTGGCTTCCAAAGAAAAAAATACCCAAAGCAGTATACTCTAACATATTTGAATTTCCAAGACACCCTGAATCTGAAAAGGACATAACAAATACCATATGATCTCACTCAAACATGGAATCAAAAAAGTTGAACTCATAGAAACCAAGGATAGAATGACAGTTACCAGAGGTTAGGAAGAGTAGGGGAAGACAGACGGACAATGGGTGCAGTAAGAGAGGTGGAATAAATTCTGGTATTCTACTGCACAGAGGGTGGCCATACCTAACAAAAATGATTTTTATTTTTTTTTAAAGCTAGTAGAGAAGATGTGGAAGATTATTACTAAAAATGCTTAAGTTAGAGAGGCTAATTACCCTAATTTGGCTATTATAAAATGTATATACATCTCAAACATCACTTTGGACCTTATGAGTATGTACAGTTCATTATGCGTCAATTCAAAATAAAATTTTAAAAGACAAAAAAAGAAAGGGTTCAAACTGTGACAAACCTAAATTTACTGAACTTTACATTTAATTAAAACAACTCAGCTGTCTTTGTTGGCACAAGTATTAATGCCATCTCCTTAAAGTCTCTAGAATATGGACTGCAGACATAACTGGACACGTTCAAAAAAAAAATATGTACCTATTCTCGGTCATTGTGATGTAGATTTTTAACTGAAGAAATATAGAGTGTGTCCAGGTGCCATGACACATGCCTGTAATCCCAGCAGCTAGGGAGGCTGAGGCAAGGAGGATGGTGAGTTCAAAGCCAGCCTCAGCAAAAGTGAGGTGCTAAGCAAATAAGTGAGTCTCTGTCTCTAAATAAAATAAATAAAATAAAATAAAATAAAAATAAATATAAAATAAAATATAAAATAGGGTTAGGGAAGTGGCTCAGTGGTAGAGTACTCCTGAGATCAATCCCCAGTATCCCCCACCAAAAAAAATAAATAAATAAATAGAAAAGAAATGTAGAGTGTGCAGCATAGGTGTTTATTGTGCTTCTAAAGAAGTAATGAAAGATATCAACTTGAATAGCATTTCATATATAATTAGTACTAGGACCTCAGCTCAAGGACGTTTTTATTTTAGACTTAAAAAAATAAAATGCTGCCAATTCATTTTTCCCTCCCTTCAATTCCTGGTCCTTCATGAGCATTCTAGCCTGCTAGTTTCCAGGTAATTTTATATGGCTTTTGAGTGATCAATGATTGAAATAAATGAAACTAATTGTCCTCTCTCTTTATATCTCTATGGCTTTATATCACTTGATAGTTAACCAACAAGGTATTAAAGACCATAAACTGAAAAGGAAAAGATAAGCCATATCTATGTAACATTAATTTCATCATTAGCAATTCTTTTGTTGTTGTCATCCTTGTTGTTTTTATGCATGACAGTAGAATATAATTTGACATATTTATACAAACATGGAATACATCCTATTCTTATTAGGATCCCAGTCTTCAGGTCATACATGATGTAGAGATTCACTGTGGTATATTCATATATAAGAAAGTTATGTCAAATTTATTCCACTGTCATTCCTATTCTTATTTCTGTCCCCCCTTTTTTAATTATAGATAAATGCCTGCAACAAAACTTACCATTTTTAAGGACACAGTTCAATATTGCTAAGTATATTCATATTATTGTGCAACTTATCTCCAGAAACTTTTTTATATTGCAAAGCTGAAACTCTATACCCATTAAAGAACCACCTCTATGCCCCTGCTCCAACCCCCAGTAACCACCATTCTACTTTGTTTTTCATGAATATGACCACTGTAGATATTTCATGTAGGTGAAATCATACAGTATTTGTCTTTTTGTGACAGGCTGATTTCATTTGGCATAATATCCTCAAAGTTTTTCCATGTTGCAACACATGTCAAAATTTCATTTTTAAAAGGTTGATAATACTGCAAGGTATACACCACAATTTGTTTAGCCATTTGTCCATCAATGTACACTTGAATTGCTTGCACATTATGGCTATTGTGAATAATGATACTATTAACATGAATATACAAATATCTTTTCAAAACCCTGCTTTCAAATCTCTTGGATCTATGCCCAGAAGGGGAATTGCTGGATCATGTGATAAAATTACCTTTTTTAAAAAAACTAAACTTTCTATTTTAGAGTAGTTTCAGATTTATGGGAAAAAAACTTGAAGATAGCATAATAAGATTCTATATAATTTCACATCTAATTTCCCCTACTATAAATATCTTACATTAGTATCGTACATTTGTCACGGTTTGTGAATGAACATTATGTCAACTAAAATCTATACATTATATTGCTTTAGTTTTTGACATTCTAGAATCTTATTTGGGATACTACATTATACCTAATTATCATGTCTCCTTTTTGCTTTGACAGTTTTTAGACTTTCCTTGTTTTTGATGACCTTGACAGTTTTGAAAAGTACTGACCAAGTATTTTGTAGGATGTCCTTCATTTGGCATTGTCTGACACTTTTCTTATGATAAACCTGGGGATGAGGGATTTCAGGAGGAAGACAACAGAGGATACATATATCAGATCAAGGTTACCATATTAATTGCATCATATTTTCACATCAAATCAAAGGTACCTAATATCAACATGACATCACTGTTGATGTTGACCTTGCTAAGAAAGTATTAATCGGGCTCTCCACTGTAAAGTTGCTATGCTGCTACCCCATCAGCTTTCCACTATACTTTTTAGAAAGAAGTCTTTATGTGTAGACCTAAACAAAGGAATAGAGTGTTATTTTCAACTTCATTGAGAGTGGAATATTTATATACTTATTTGAATTTCTGAACAAGAGATTTTTCTCCTTTCCTATTTATTTGTTTATACAGCTCATTGTCTATAAAAGCTTGAAATCACAGATATTTTATACTTTGGATTATAATCCAGTAGCACATTATTATGTTATTCAAATTGTTCCCAATTTGGCCATTGAGGACTCTTTCAGTTGGCTCCTGAGTACTTTTCCTATCAATGCAACATGTTGCATTATGAATCAACACACAATATTTCTACACAGTATATGGTCCTATCTGGGTAATACAGCAGAAGAAAGATTTTTCCTGGCACAATAGAAG